ATACTTCCTCTTGGCTTCATAAGACAGCCTTCTTCTTTGGAATCTGCCAGTGTTGACCAAAAAAGGCATTTTATCTTCTTAATTTTTTTAATGAACCTCTTGTTGGTTTGTTTTAAACCTGTCACAGGTTTGTCACAGCAAGAGTGGAGAAGTCAACTCGACAAAAGTAGCAAATCTGGTGAAAGCATATGTAGACAAATACAAACATTCACGGAAGAAAAATCCAGAGGAGGCATTCTCTGCGGAAAGAAAATAAGAGTAAAACGAAAAACCTGAAAACATGCTCTATCTGCAAAGTGCAATTTCAACAAGAACCATTAACTGAAAATTGTTCATGACTATGATTGGAATCTGGTTTTGATAAAATTATTTTTCAATGTAGTATATAATGTTTTGTTCTAAATAAATATAGATTTAAGCTGCAACTTCTTTATCCCTTTTCAAAATAGATGCCTAAAAGAAAGTAAAAGGTATAAAGGAGAATGCATTTTTATTAGGAATGTATGATTGTGTGGATACTAGATGTACAGCAATTTCACTTGAATAATGGAGTGCATAAAATTAGAAATCTTGTCTAAGTACATTGGTTTTTGGAACAGGTATGTACAGTACATGTAATCAGTCAGATTAAAGATATTAAAGTAAGATTTTTTTTGATTTCTCCCTAATTATAGTAAAGATAAAATAATGTATTGCCTTGACAAATATTTCTAGTGTTAACTGGAGAGACTGAATGCAGGGGTCACAATGTGTATGTAAAAAGCACATGGCTGTGTCTGAACAGAAGAACCGTTTAGATGAAAAGAGAACAAATTCACCATCCGTCAGTAAGATTTGGTGCCCAGAACCATGGGCGCTCTTGTTAACACCAAATAAAGATTATGCTGCTTGGTTTTGTTTTGTGACTTTTTTCAATTTTTGTTTTGAGATAGTGGGCTGCATTTGAGTAACTTATGGAAAAGAACTCAAGGCCTCTAGTCACAAAAGGTATGCTTCAGGCAACCACTGTGCACAGCTCTGGTAAATGACCTAAGAAATGATTATGCTTTAGGGCTAGATATTCAGGAAAAATAAGTACTGCAGTTCTGTTTTTACTTTTCTATAATTCTTCAAATACAGTAAAAGGGGGAAATCTTTACTAGGGTCTCTGTTGACCAGAGGTTGCCAGTTGTGCCAATTTTAGCTGTGTAAGATATTTTATTAATGTGAACTATAGTTTGCTAGGGACTACAGCAGAGGCCACCAAGCTCATGTCACTAAAGTTGCACAAAGATAATCCTGGGTAATTAGTTACTTAAAGTCACTTAGTGCTTAGTAAAAAGCTTAGTAGTAGCTTTCAAACTTCCCAAAAACACTTTCCAGTAAGGAGTTAGGTCCAGATTGTTCAGTCATTCCAAAGGCTGGTATTGGAACGATTAACTGCTCTGAAAGAATTGATTCAAACCTGTTTATGGAGTTGGGTGGCTTGTTAGGACAGTGTGGTTTCTAATTCTCGTGGAAAAAGTTTCTTGGAAGTCTTTTAACTTGCATCAGGAGTGTCAGTGGGCAGCTGGTTTTCTTCTGTTTTGGAAGAACAGCACTACTAAAAGTGGTGCACATCCCACAGTGCTTGAATACAGTGAAAGCACTGTGCAAGAGCCTGAGACCCTGAAAAAAGTGGGCATGTGCTATGTGGACTCTGTCTCTAATGACTTTGAGAAAAGTCTGAGCTGTATGGATGTTGGCTTCCCAAAGTTGCAAGCATCTTGAAGTTCCTTACCTATCCTGTCCTTTCCAGTAATTTTCACAGGACCCTGAGACAGGGGATATAAAGGGATATATAACTATAAGATGCTGTCACAACAGTTGATCACTTGCTTTTAATTGCAGCTTTCTGCAGATGTAATGAAGCATTTGACTAGCTATATTTATTTTTGTGCCTAAATCAAAATGTGTAAATTAGAGACTGATACAAGTTTTTCTACAGTCAAGCCATGTTTTAGATTTTTCAAAACTGATCCAGGTTTACTCTGCTAGTGATTTGTATGGGCTCTTGAACTACTTTAAGCTACAACTGGTTAGCACTTTTTGAAATATTTTGTAGCAAATTGCTATACCTATCCTGGTTAATCACGCCATGCGTACCTATTTTTATTGCATTTTCCTGCTCTGACAAATTTTTGGAGGTTGATGACTTTTATATCTTTTTATTCTATACAGTTGAACCTTGCTACAGTGCTCTTTCAGGAGCCATATGAATGTCCTTTTAACAGAAGTGTGGAGAGGGGGCAAAAAGGAATTTTGTGGTAATGCTTGTTTCAACATACGAGACAGGGAGGATTTGTTCTTTTTTTTTTTTTTTTTTTTTTTTTTTCCCAGC